TTTTTTTTTTTTTTTTCCAGTTTATCCATTTAAAAAAAAAAAATTGGTTGATTAATCAGTTATCGATTAGTGTGGTCCAGCCTAGTTATCGTTGCTGGTAAAATCCATTATCAGTCGACCTCTAGTAAATACAACTTTAATGTCATACGACATAAAATATATTGTCATACGACAATGGCTTTTATTAAGACAAACTTTGAAGGCCCGTTTACACCAAGACCCATAATAGTAATAATATTAGCGTCCACGATAGCACTGCAGTTTTGTTGTCTGCCTCTTTAAATACACAAGCTCGTTAAAGTCGGGTGGATTCTGATTGGCTGTCAGTGTTTTTATTGTTCCTCAGTATTGAACGTATTCCAATGCAATGTGTTGTCCTCATTATAGTTGTAATGTGGACATTTTTTTATAGAATTATAACAATTTTTAGAACTTTATATGTCATTTTTTGTAAGATGGATTTAAACGAATGTTTTATCACAACAAGTGCATTTAATAAATCTTGTATAGGGTTGTATATGAAAAAATTTATCCCTTTTCTAAGTTTAACTTTGTAAAATGTTTGTATTTATTGTTTGTTAAACGATAATAATCAGTCAGCAGTAATGCTCAGGGAAAAAAACACAGATTTATCACTGCGCTTGTCTGGAAACTTTCACATACTAAAAGCATATTCTGTTTATTGATTGTAATGTTTCTTTGTTCCCTATTATTACTTTATATTTATATGTTTTGACGCTATATTTAGTTGGTTATAATTCTTAACACACAGTTGTCATAAGTATAGGAGTGTCACCTTTCTTGTCAGTTTGTTACTTTTGAATGTGAGTGTTTATATTTGAATGTATCGTTTGAGCTGATGAGATGGAGGTTCTACAGTTGTTACATTTTATTTCCTAAATTAAATGTAACTGACAAAATTAACATTTTTGGAGCCATATAAAAAGTCAAGCAGTGGCCGGACTTGAATAAAAAGGACTTTAGTTTTCACAATCCAGTTCATTTGTGATGGATTTAGTATGTTTTTTTGAGCGTCCCGATGTTTCTGTGTGCTTTTCCCTGTCAATGAGAGCTCGCATTTACAAACGCTGGATGCGGAGAGGAACTGGCCGTTGTTATAGCAACAGGCTGCAGGGCAAATCTGCCCACACACTCGTGTGTGTGTGTGTGTGTGTGTGTGTGTGAGAATGTCCTGCGTTACTACCACTATCGGCAGCTTCATCACAAACGCTCTTCTGAATGGAGAAGTGTTTCATCACATGCATTCACACGCTGAGATCCAAACCAGAGAAATCATATTTTGCATTAAAAATGAAGCTTATTTTTGGCTACATGGCAGTTTCTTGATAAGTTCAGACATTTGTTTGTGAGACTAGCTTCATTTGGCGTTATGATTTAGATTGATGCATCACTGTGTAAATCTCTTTTGCACTAATGTAACATGCGTGTTCATGAGTTCATGTTCATTCTCTCGTGATCTGAAGGTAAAGATGGTCATTCTCTCTGACTGTGCGACGTTTGTGTGTTTCAGGGAAATCCTCCTTGACAATACAGTTTGTGGAAGGCCAGTTTGTCGACTCCTACGACCCCACGATTGAAAACAGTAAGTGAATCAGATCACATCCTACTGCAAAATGAATCATAATCATAATAATGTAGGCTTGAGAATTGAAATTTGCTCTGTGAATTGATAAAAGGACCATAGATAATATGCATTTCTACTGGCTTTGTGACTACTACACTTCAGTTTGTATGCAAATGACTCTTATGAGTCAGTTCTGTGATTGTGACTCACTGAATCATTCGGTTACTCCGCATCTGACTCACTGAACTGCGAGTCATTCGGTCAAATCTGATTCAATATGTCGAACACTTCAGATTTAAATAATTACTGACTAGTTGTTCATTTATAACTTGACATGTAGTTTAAGTTGAATGTCCACTTGTTGTAGAAAATGCTGGGATTTAATCTAGTTAAGGTTGATTATGTGATGTTTCCTCACAAGTACTACAAGATTCATTAATGCAGTTGTTAAGAAAAAAAGTGGAATCAAACTTGTTAAACTTAAACATTAAGCTTAAAATCATGATTAGCAGTAAATTAACTTGTGGTTTTATTATTAGTAGTATTTTTTATTTATTATTATTATTTGTGTTTATTTTTAATGCTTTTAGGATGTAACTGCTGTGATCTCATATTTATTATTATTATTATTTTTTCCTTTCATTGTTAAGGACGATTATCTTTTTTGTTATTTCTGTTAATTTAAATCCACTGTACTGTCCTGTTTTTGTTATAAACAAATAAGGCAAACACTAAAAAAAACAAAGGTATGTACTATTATATATTATATTACATTATAGTATATATAAATATGTAAAGGTTGGACAATTTAACTGAATTAATCACAAAACCATATGATGAAAAAATGAGTGTTTGTTGATTTGGATGATCTGCTTCAAGCTTCAGATGATCTGATTCTGAGCTCGAGGTCACTGCGACTTTGAGCAGCTGTTTAAATCGACCAGGCGTTTTATCATTAGCTTATAATGGGACATTCTTAAAGGGGCGGGTCGTAACACAGCTATCAGGCAGTGGAACGGGCTGAGTGGGAGGAGTCTACGTGAGTGGGTGTGGCTTCCATTGCGATGACTCCACCTCCACTGTTCTGTGCCTGAAACACATCAACTCTCCTGATTGTTTAAATTGCAAAAACAGTTTTTTTTAAGTGTTTGTAATAACTAGAAAAAAAATGTCAGTGTTTGTGTGACAGCAGTAAATTAAAAGTTGATAAATTTGTCACTGAAAATGTATTTTTGTTGGATGTTTAGAGAGACTCACTATGAGACGTTTTCATGATTTAATAACATCCAGAATTGAGACATTATTTCACTATTTGCGTCAGCCGATAATCATGAACTCTTATGGTGGGTTCACACCAGACGCGAAGCGAATATGCGCATCGCGTCACTCGCTCTAGATTACTTGCGGGATGTTTTTCCGTGTCACTCGCGCGAATAAAAACAGCACGATCAACCATGGTGGAGATAACTACAATCGCTGTTTTGTACCTGTTGTCAAAAAGTCCCAAATATAATGGAAAGTCAAACGCCGAATAACGTTAGGATTCTGTATTAATGTGTGTGTTACATAGATTGTCTGATTCAACTGGACGTGTCAAGAAACTCTTCGCTGATTGGTTTGTGCGAGAACGCGTCATGTGAATTTTCCGCTCGAGTTGAAATTTTTGAACTTGCGCGTAAGACGCGATTGAGGTGAATATCGTGCAAACGCGTCGTGCATTTCGTGTCATTCGCGTCGCCCGGCGTGAATTCGCCTCTATTCATGTCTTTGCGTTGACTTTGTATGTAATCTACTCGCGTGAATAATTACATTCGCGTCTGGTGTGAACACACTGTTAGACTCAATCCCAAATCAGCATATTAGAATGATTTCTGAAGATCATGTGACACTGAAGACTGGAGTAATGATGCTGAAAATACAGATTTGATCACAGAAATAAATTACAGTTTAACAGATAATCACTTAGAAAACAGCTGTTTTACATTGTAATAATATTTCACAAATTTTCAGATTTTTTAGATTTTTGATCTGGTGTCCTTTATTTCTTTTTTCAGCATTTACGAAAATGATCACAGTGAACGGTCAGGAGTATCACCTGCAGCTGGTCGACACAGCGGGACAGGTGAGAAACACGACTTCACCTTTAAATGTTGTTTTATTTATTTATTTTAATTTTTTAAACTTCACAGGAATATCAAACATTCAGGAGTCCAACACCAGTGACACTGCATGACTCTCAAACACATTTTAATGCAGAAACGAATCCACGAAAGGCCATAAACCTTTCTGCAGTGGTGTTGTTTTTAACTAAAATTTAAAAACCTAAGCATTAAAATGGTTTTAATTCATTGAAATAAAGCCGAAATAAAATATAAATATTCAATGACAGACTTAAACTTAAAAAAAAACTAAAAACTTAACCGAAATAAAACTAAAAATAAATTACTAAAACTGAAATACGAATAATATTAAAGCTAAAAAATATATATTAAAATGACAAAAGCAAATAACAAAATTACTAAAATAAAAATGAAAACTGAAAATGCAAAATCTAATTCACAATACTAATAAGGATGTAACGATTCGCTCAACTCACGATTCGATTCATGATTTTTTTTTTTAACAAAATGACATTTAAGACAAATTATAAATTAATGTGTCCTTTTATTATTGCTTGGACAAAATGCTGCACGTTTCTTTGTGAAATTGAAATATAACACTATAATAATATACTAATATAGCACTTGCATATTATTGCTCTTTTGTTGGTTTTGATTGCTTCTATTGTTCTCATTTGTAAGTCGCTTTGGGTAAAAGCGTCTGCTAAATAACAAAATTTAAATATAATGTAAATGTAAATAACAAAACTAAATTGAAAATTTAAAACAAGCCCCAAATCAAATAAATAAGTAACACAAATAAAATAAATCTCTTTAAACAAAATAAGGCTTTGTCTGTGCTCTTTCCATTTAAAATGAG